TGGAAAGAGTTGATGGTGAAAAAAAGTTAAATTTTATTGCAAGGGGCAAACAATTTTGTCGAATCCAAAATTAGAATTAAAGCTAGGACTAAAATGACTTATTTTGAAACCTTTTATATTAAGAGTATTTTAGATAGTTTATATGGTTGAATAGTGAAATAGGTTAGTTTGGAATTATGACTTTGAATTTGGTTCATTTACTTGAATTTCCCCGGAGGACAAGAATAATAGATGAAAATGACTAAGTGAGTGTGTAAAAGCTGTGGTTCCAACCTTTAGGTTGAAAGGTCGACCCCTATTTATAGTAGCTAGGAGTAGGTATGATTTGGTTCAATCAATCATCATCAATCAATTCTAAAAAGAATCAATCCAACAGAGAATTACAGAAAATCTTGTACACGGAACTGTCTAGTCCAACTTTAATCATGTAATCGAATTGGAATCGAGTTATTCAATTTGGTCCAGTTCGATTCGATTCCAAATAATATTTGTATTTTTCAATATTTTCAAAAAATGTTTCATTCTCCTAAAGTTTGATACAACAAAACATCTATCTACCTAATTTTTATACTCAAACTGAACTCAACTTCATCCTTGAGTTTTGCAATCCATACATCACATTCGATATTTTATTTTTCTTTGTTGGAAAGTAATTTTTTACAGTTATGATGCTTGAAAGACTTCTTTGGGAAAATTATAAATAAAACACAACTACCATCTAGATCATCATTATCCTCAAGTGGCATATTTAATACTTTTTGAGTATTCTATAATCTTACAATTTTCACTAGAATAATTTAAGAGGCAATCCTTCATCTACAAGAGTCGGATTGAGCTCTTCTAGATCCTGTAAAGAAAGTAGCCAATAAATAGGAGGAAGATAATCTTTAAAGTCATTAAAAACACAAGCACATGAATTCACTCTCACGAGGATTCCACTTGTATAAAAAAAAAAGGTGAAAATCCAATTTGTAACATAAAAAATAAATAAATAAAAGGTTTTATTTTTATTTTTTTATAATTATGTGTATGGATATTGGTATTTCCATCACAAGGGTACATAAAAAAAAAGGCAGAAGGTAGACTGTTGAGTTTTGATACCCCAATAGATCCCGGACGATAATGTTACTCATTGGAAATTTTCAATCAATATCGACCAAATGATTGAATTAAATATCAACACTTTAATGAAATGACTCGACCCGAAAACTACTTGGGACCATTAGAAGTAGCATAATTTAATGGGAACAATACACAATTCCTATTTTTAAAGATCACATTTCATAAATAACAAATT